GAGAGTGCTGAGAACTGCAGTTCCCATGACGAGGGCTAAGAGGCTCTGCCCAGAACCAGTGACAGGTGACAGCACCTGTCCCTCTGCCTGCAACACAGGGAATTCATGCCTCCTCTGCTCGGCAAACCTAAAAGCGTTTTCCAAACTAGAGTAAGATTGATATTTACAAATGTGAAGACAACAGAAGCTACGTCTACATTTACGATGGAAAGCTACGATGTTAGCATCTGACTGCTTTCTTTAGGGAGAATGTGCCACTCAAAATCTCCAGCTGGATAGTTGTAGCAACAACAACAACAAAAAACCCACCCACCTGAAATATTCCACAATGCCAGTTTTTCTTTTTTTCTCCAACATGCTATTTTTGGAAGAATCTTCACATTTCCATCTTGTCTCTCACCCACAAAATGAGGGAAGGTTGCTGACATGGGGCACGTTCTTAGCAGAAGCAGAATGTGTCGGGAAAGAAGGTGGAAGAGAGAGACAACAAAGTGGAAAGAGAGGAGCATGGAGGTCTGAAGGCATCGCTGTCACAGCACAGAAGGAAGGAGGCCACCAGCTAGAGAGGCCATGAAGGCCTTAGGACAGGCTCGCCTATTTACCCTTTTTTGCCAAACCCCAAAACAGAAAGGTCAGGGCAACTGGCTTACTGACCAGCAAAAAAAAAAAAGCCTCACAAATCTTCTTAGAGAATGAAAAAGTTATTGGAAGGACAAGTTAAGAAAAGCACTCTAAACTCTGCCCTGCTTCTCCTCTCTCCAATTACACATCTCTTCATCTCTTGTCCTGATATATGTCCAAGGGCGCATGCATGGGTCACCCACTGTAAATCCCCAAGGTTCCACTGTCACTCACTCTGGCAGCTCTGATGCCCATGTTTCTCCCTGACATGCCTTGCACCAACCATGCTGTCAGCATCCAGCTCTTACCTGGCACTAGAATGTATTTGTCTGGTTATAGGTGTCTGCTCTGACTTGGAACCATGCTCCCTGGATCAAGACCAAAAAGCAAGGAATGAGCCAGGAGCGCTGCCGACGGAGTGCTCTGCATCCCAAACTATTCAAGGGGTCCAATTTCTCTCCCACACTGGCAACTCACCTGAAGCCCCAACCCTCAAGTAGTTCAGCCTTTTTCCAATTGTGAGTGAAATCCTGCCTGTCTCTCCAAGTAGAGTCAGAGGCACGCATCTAGACTGAGGAGAACAGATACCTACCTGCCCCCATCAATCATTTGCCTCCATCAAGCTATTCAAGTGGATTCAGTAGTCCCCAAGATCAGAACTACAGAAATGGAGGCCCCCAAAAGGGCCAAGTTACTTTATTAATCTGAATTACAAACTTCTCCATAAATGGAAATTAAATGAAACATTTCAGGCCACTATATCTTAGAGATTAACATCCGAGACAGGTCTAGGAGTCCAAAATGCATACATGGTAGGCAGATGAATACTGAAATATTTTTGGATTTCAGTTTAGTGGCTCCCTTGCTTGAGATGAAAGGAGCATTAAGGAGCAACATTTACAGACAAAGGCTCCAAGGCCAACATATTCCCCAGAAGATACAATGAAATGCTATGGAAGATGAAATGCTACAAGCCACAAATTAATTTTTGATTCAGAAATGGGGCGGAAGAAATAAAATGATGCAAGGGGAAGAAAGCAAAGAGGTCTGAAGCCAGAACAATGTGAGTGGATATTTAGTATGCTGCGGGTAATCTGTGCCTCCCTGCCCATCGAACATTTAAAGGAAATCCTGAAAGAGTGTCACTCTAATGAGATTCTGGATTTCCATCAACCCAGGCTGGCACTCCTTAGACATAACCATTATGTTTTTATCAGTGGGAGTCAGGCTTCTATAACTGCTATCAACTGCAAGAGCCCTGTGATTCTAAACAAAGGTATTTTGTGGTGACACTCCCCCAGTTATCACATTTCCTTATTCTGCTAGCTTGAAATTCTGGAATTCCATTTTAACTGCAGGCAAGTATGATGTTTTGGATGCAGCAAGTAATTCATCTTTTCCCTCACCATGTGCCAGAGATTGCACAATGTTTTAGAATTCAAGGGGCTGTTATATGAAATATTTTTTAAGAGGGTTAAAAGTTAAAAGAAGACAAAAAAACAAAATAATCTTTGTGATGCTTCATGCTCTCTCTATCCTCCAACCTTTAGCCAAGTTCTTTGATAAAAATGGTTAAAAGGAGCGGAGGGGATGAGGGTGAGTGAAGGGGATTAAAAGATACAAACTTTCACTTATAAAATAAATAGGTCACAGGGAGGAAAAGTATAACACTGGAAATACAGTCAATAATATTATAATGCACTTAGGGGCACCTGGGTGGCACAATCCATTAAGCTTCCAATTCTTGGTTTTGGCTCAGGTCATGATCTCAGAGTCATGAGATCGAGCCCCACATCAGGCTCCAAACTCAGCATAGAGTCTGCTTGAGATTCTCTCTTCCTCTCCCTCTGCCCCTCCCACTCGTGCTCTCTCAAATAAATAAATCTTCTAAAATAATATTTTAATACATTTATTGTGGTGAGCATTTAATAATGTATGAAATTCAAAATGCTGAATGACTATGTTGGACAACTTAAACTAATTTATTATAGGTTAAACTATACTTCAATTAAAAATGAGGAGAGAAGTAGAGAACAATAGGGATTCATAAGTTTGCTATCATTGGAGGAATATGTTTTTAATATGGATATAAGATAGTATAAAAACAATTAAAAAAAGTAGCTAAAAGCAAGGGAGGATTGACAGTCAAATGGGGTAGGACTGTGGGACGGGGCAGGGAGACTGTAGGAGGTAACACTGTACACAACATAACTTCAGGGATATTGCTTGATCCTCCCAGATAATTTCTATCTCAACCTGTCATCACATCTGAAATTCCACCTTGAGCTTTGTTCCTCTAAGCCATAAAAACACCAGAGACTCAATGAAAATCAGGAAAAAAATTAGAGATCTGCTAGAAACCAGCTCTGAAGAAAGATGTAAGGGATTCATCTTAAGAATAACAAAATGGTTCAGGTGTGTATTTACCAGTGAAAGATTCTTGAATATGCCCAGTAGGTTGCAGAGGCCTGAAGTTAAGCTTTTTTATGGGCGAGACCCCAGGCATCATGAATAGCCCCAGTGTAGCTCAGAATCTGTGCCCAAGCTCCAATGGGGTCATTGAGATTCAGTCCAGATCTGAAAATGTCAAGGAGTCTCGTGAGGGCTTCCGCATCAGAGTTTCATTTTTTCAAGTTGAGAAGGAAGAGGAAAGATAGAAGAGCAGATTTGGGGACCTTTATTCTGTGCTTGAATACACATGCATACATCTCCTAAGGGATCCTGCACCAGAAACTTTTTCTTTTGTTATGAAGGACATTAATAGAGCAATTGGCAAATTTTAGTGAGGTCTGCAGATTAGGGAATAGGACTATATTCGTGTTAATTTACTGATTTTGATCACTGTGCTGTCATTACATAGGAGACATTATATAAAGGACATGATACAGTGTCTCTTTTTTTGCTAAGGAAAAACATACTGAAGCATATAAGAGTAAAGATATAGCATGCCTGCAATTTACTCTGAAGTGGTTAGAAAACTATAATATCCTTATATACAGAGAGAAGGGAGATGATGAGGCAAATGTCATAAAAACATTACCATTTGGGGAATTTGGAGATGAAAAGATGACAATTTTTCATACTATTCTCATGACTCTGCCAGAAGTCTGAAATTATTAAAATAAGGGAAAAAAGTAAAGAAAATAAAAGAAACACCTGCCAGTCAGACAACTGTAATGTGAGCAAAGCACTGTCACTGTTCTGGATTGAACTGGTGGTCTGTTCAGGATCAAACAACCCCAGGCAGAGGAAGGCATCTGCCATAAGAGGAAGCACCTGTCTCTCATCTCAGCTCTGTTGGGTGACTTTGGGTGAGTCATTTACTTGCTATAAGCCTCAGCATCTCATCTGAATGATGGGCATCGTGTCATCCAGTCTGTGAAGATTTCAGAAAACGTGCAGCAAAGGCCAAACAGTGGCAGGATTGGAGCTCAGGAAATGAAGGTGGGTATGACATAACGAAACTTCTCTGGAAAACCAACATCCCTCTTAACCTCAGTGCAACCAAAGGCCAAGAGGACTTGAAAAAAGCATGAAATACAGACTGTCACTCATAAGCTAGTTCTGCTTTCATCATCTAAGTTGTCTTGTTTCCTCATTAAGTGAACCCAGGGCAACGAAGCTCAAGGAGGCTTCTGCTGGGCTCTTCATTCTAACACTTCATAATTATATATGACATGACCAACCTCAAGCTATGTTCACCTTTATCACAGCATTTAATCCTCACGAATATCTTTGTATCTGCTTATTGACTGAACCCTCCTCCAAAACGGTTGAGGCATCTTAAGATCGAGTATTATTATCTCTACCTTCTTGATAAAGAGCTAGAAATGCTTCTGGTAGATATTCCAGAGAAATGCACACGCAGGTCCAAGAGGAGGCCTGCAGGTGGATGCTCACTAAGTGACGCGAGCAGGGCAGGGTACCAGAAGCAATGCAGGTGTCCCTCCTTCATCGGAGCGTGGGGTAAATCACGGTGGACGCACATCACAGGAGCAGTTAGGAAAAAGGACCGCATAGCAAAGTATCTCAAAAAAACAGTGTGGAGTGCGAAGTCACAAACGGAATGAGATACAGAACATGATGCCAGCAAGTCTAAAAGAATTTCCATAGTATGCATGTAAACATGTTAGTTAAATGTTTCATGGGATGTTATAGTTCTAACTGGTCAAAGAAACAGATATTCCACACTGGATAGAGAAGGAGGGAGGGACAAATGGAGAAACAGACGGAATAAAAGGATAGACAGATGGAAGGTGGTTAGATGGTGGATTTAAAGGAGGAAGGCCATGCAACACACACCACACACACACACACACACACACACTCACACACACACCAGAAACTCATTTGCATACATGCCCACTGGGCTGTCTCACCTGAGGCCCCTGGCTTGTGGCTGGGCTGGCCTGCATGGTGCACACTCTGCTGTAGCAGGTGCAGGCACTCCCCAAGGCAGCTGAGGGTTGCAGCGGAGGTAGCTTTCAGGAGCAGCAGATCCTGGTCCAAGGCAGTGAGGGGGCCGGAACCTGGCAGAGACTCGATGGCGTGCACGAGGTTCTTCTGCTGTCCTTCCACCTGGTTCATCATCTACAAAACGGGAAGACAGCAAGGAGGTGAGAGCGAACAGTCCTCCTTTCAAAAGGTTGGGTAGCAGCTCTTCAACCCAGGGGCTGGACAAGAGAGGAAGTGGGGAGGGAAAGCATTACCCTCTGGCTACGTCCCAGTGGTGGGAGAGTCAGCTCAGAGGGTGTTCAGTACACGCTAGTGCTTTGACAGTGCAGGCCTGGGGGGGGGATCTAAGTGACATCTGCAGCTCTGATCACAAGAGCATTTTAGAATCACTGAGTTAAAAGGGCCCGTGAGGGCCATCTGCATTTATCATTTTACTGATCTTCTGAAGGCAAGTCAATAATAAATATGTTAAAGGTAGAAGTCTTTGGGATTGTCATTAAGGTTCTTTCTTTCCAAAAGGTTATCTGAGACAGTGGACGAACCCTGGCTTGGCCTCAGAGCTAGGCTAATTCCTTGCTCTTCCTCCAGCTCCAATGCCTATCTCCTTGGCAGTCTTTTTGAAGTTCAAGAAACAGAAGTGAAATTTCAAGCTGGCATTTCCATAAGTGAGATCACAGTGAAGCCAGCCACGAACTACTCCACCCCAAAGATGCTAAATCGGATGTGACTTTCCTAACACCGTGTGAGACACTAGGAGGAAGAGAAAACCCAGCAACTCTAGAGGCAGCCCTATGCCACAGCTGAATCTACGATAACCCCAAAGAACCATTATTTGTGTGGCCTGGACTAACAATAAACCACAGTCTAACTGCATCTTTGAAATGATAAATCAAGAAGAAAGGATGTCAAGAACTAGAAAAGCACTTGACTGGTTAACTTGTGAGTTTCGTGTCCCCTGTGTTCCACAACTTTCTAAACAAGATGATGCACATAGAGTATACATCTAGCAAAAACAGCTGCTCTGAGAAAGCAGGGTGCGGGGTTTGGGGGAGGCAAAGCAAACCGCCCAAGTTCCCAGGGCTGCTTGCCATGAGAGGCTGCAACCAGCTCCCGATTTCTAGACTCTGGTCTTTTCTTTTAGCTCCCCACACAACCATCCTTAATTTGAGGCCATAACTCATGCTTTGTCACTGTCTTCCCCAGATGATTCTTGTTATCCTTACAATGTCACCAGGTGGGGAGAAGCAATAGTTCTGCAGGGACCACTGGACTTGGGACACAAAACTCATTCCACACTCAGCCTTATTTTCCTATTTCTTTTTGAAAACGGGTACCTGCTTTTTTCTGTCACTCTGTGTAGTTAACAGCTTAAAAAAAAAAATAAAAGGAAAAAAAAAAAGCTCATCCATTGCAATCCTACTTATCAAAATAGGTACCATTACTTCAAAAAGATCACTTTTTAAATCACTGCTAAGCCTATTGCACAGACAATAGGAACTGTCTTGGAACTGTCACCTCAATGTGCACACCAATCCTTTGGCCATGCAAATTATTTTTTTGCAGATTACAAAGGTCATACCTGGCTATGCTGGCTCCTAAAAAAGTACCTGGGGCATAACACGAGCTCAACAGGTATTCATTTCTGCCTTCAGGTCTTTGCTTAAAAGTTACCTTCTCGGCAAAGCTTTCCAAACCACATTATTTAAAACTGTATTTCCAGTAGCACCCAGCTGGCTTAGTCTGTAGAGTGTGAGATTTGATCTCGGGGTTGTGAGTTCAAGCCCATGTTGAGCGTAGAGATTACTTAAAAGTAAATCCTTAAAAAATAATTGTATCTCCAGCCCAACCCTTGGCACTCTTCTATCCTTCTTACTAATTTTTCTCCATAGCACTTACCACCTTCTAACCCAACTTATAATTTACTTATTGTGTTCATTTGTGCTAGTGTGAAAGCAGGGATCATCATAGCTGAGCTGTTTGCTGATATATCCCAAGTACAGGAAAATAGCTGTGAAATGAATAAATGAATCCTGTCTCACTCTTCTCTGAGGTGCAAAAGAACCGATTTTTGACATAAAGTCTACAGAAATCATTATACTCAATCAGCATAATATGGCTGAAGATTTATTAAAGGATAATACCTCCATTATCAGTTTAGGCTTACCCAGAAATACTACCAACTGCTTAAATTTAACTTTGCACAAAATAAAATGTTTATGTATTCTTTGACAGTTCTATATATAGAACTAACAGAGAGAATTGGATTTTGAGCTGTCATAGTCAACATTTCTGTAAATTCCCACCATAAAATCTTGTCCTAGAAACATGAGGTGTTGAAAGGGAAGAAGAAACCTTAATGAAGAAACATATAATATATTGTTCTTGACTATTATGGATGATACTGTAATGCTTAAAAGAAAAGTGTGAAGCCAAGCCATTAACTATATAGGATACGCTTGTGTTTTATCAAAAAAAAAAAAAACTATATTCCAATTGTATAATACAGAATAAATATTTATTATTTTACAAGCATAAAGTATTATGTAAATCTCTGGTAATAAAAAAAAAAAATCAGAGCAGCCCGGGTGGCTCAGCGGTTTAGCACCATCTTCAGCCCAGGGCGTGATCCTGGAGACCTGGGATCAAGTCCCACATCAGGCTCCTGCATGGAGCCTGCTTCTCCCTCTGCCTGTGTCTCTGCCTCTCTCTCTTTCCTCTCTGTGTATTCTCATGAATAAATAAATAAAATCTTAAAAAAAAATTGACTTACAGAATCCTCTACTCCATTACAACAGAGACATACCCAGAAATGGAATCTATGTATCTGCACTCTGAAAAGTACTCAATATAATTGAGAGCTTCTCGTCAGTGCCAGAGGCAGGATGACCTGCTAGAGGGGGCACTTGAATTGGCAGTGGGGGTGGGGTGGGGTGGGGTGGGATTTGACAGTTACAGTGATTTGAGAACTTTAGGCACTGAGTGATGGCGGGGTGTGGGGGGTAGGAAGGGGGTGAGGATGCTAAATGTCCCACAGGCCAAGGCACAGTCTCCTAAAACAAGACCTGTTTTGCTCAAAATGCCATATGCCAATACTGTCCCACTGAGCAACCCTATGCTAGAGCTTTAACCAGAAACTTGATAGATTTCAACATCTTTCTGGGTGAACTGAGCCTAGCACAGTGTTTGACACACAGCAGATGTTCCCTAAAGATTCATTTTCTCCCCTTTTGCTATGTGATGCAAAAACAGAACTATTGCCTTTAATGACACAACTGATGTCATCTTCACTTGATGTTAGTTTCATCAGGCTCTAAAAGAAACTGAATGAACCCTCAAAGAAATGTGGGATTCCCTATCACAGTTATTACTGTTCTAACGTTTCTAAGGCTAGGAGGCACCAGTGAAGGGTCTTTGTCAGACTTTGGAAGAACATGTGTTAGTTAGCTTTTTCCACAACTAATTTTAAATGAAGAGCACAAAGACAAACACGGCACTGAAAAGCCATATGCAACAGTAACAATAGCAAATCCTTAAAGCATTCCTTCTCCCCTTGAAGGATCCTCCTTTTTTAAAAAAAAAAAAAAAAGTAGGCACCATGCCCAGCATAGAGCCTAACACCAGACTTGAAATCATGACCCTGAGATCAAGACCTGAGCCGAGATCAAGAGTCAGATAGATGCTTAACCAACTGAGTGACCCAGGTATACCAGCCACCCCTATCGAGCTTCCTATGGGCTTATCAACAGAAGAACAAAGCATGAATAAGCTCACCTACTGCTACCAGCCTTTGAAAAAAGTTGAACCACTTACCCTTAATTAATATAAGTTTTACATCAGAGCCATTAACACTTTTTGTGAAATACATCAACATCATTTGTGGTCTTTAAAAACAAAATGCACAAGTTTCATTTCTTCCTGGCATTACAGAATCAGGGGCATCACCATCTTATAATACAGGTGTGCAAAACAGGACCCCGAATGAAATTTCACCCCGGAAAATGTCAACTCTGAGGTTGCAAAATCAACCATATGTAGGTCACATTGAACTTCACAGATAAGCAAATGTCACAGGGAAGGGAAAAAAAAATCCTATGGCCCATTTTCACAGGACAAATAATGGTATATGTACTACAAAATCAAATCATAGGAGTTAAGGCTAATAAAATCAGTGGCTGCAGATTTTATTGATTTCAATAAAGCTGTGTAAAAAGAGATTTCAAAAAAGAGGTAAGCAAACCTAGCTAAGAAAGTCTCTTCTAAAATAGGCTCAGGAGGCCATCAGGGAGGGACACCTGCATGGCTCAGGGGGTTGAGTGTCTGCCTTCAACTCAGGGCGTGATTCTGGAGTTCTGGGATCAAGTTCCATATCGGGCTCCCTCTGGTGAGCCTGTTTCCCCCTCTCCCTGTGTCTCTGCCTCTCGCTCTGTGCCTCTCATGAATAAATAAATAAAATCTTCCCCCCCCCCAAAAAAAAAAAAAGAAGAGGAGGAATTTCCGCATGTCCTAGGAATCCTGAAGTTTTTTACTCGTTGGAAGCCCTCAGCCTGGACTTAACTCTTCTTCACCATGAGGACTGAATTATTGGCATTCTGAGGACTGAATTATTGGCATTCTTCACTTCAAAAGGAGCCAATGAGATCTGATAAGTTTCAACCCTTCGTTTGCATACTAACTCAACCAATCCCAGTGAACCTGGTTTCAATCCCTTTTTTGCAGAGAGGATCTGAATGAGAACTGCACTCATCCTTCTGCCTTTATAATTCCATCCTCTTTGCTCCCCTCAAAACAAGAGTCTTGTTTCTACCTGGACTGTATCTCCCAAATTGCAGTTCTCATCGCCCAAATAAATGCCTGCTGGTTTACATTTTTAATGAATTCTCTCTTGGTCGACAGCTGAAGGAATGGTAAAGACACTAAAACCTAATGACATCCAGCTCAACGGGCTCAAATCTGGCTAAGGGGAGACTTAAGTGGGCAGCAGGGGCCCAGGGGCTTCAGCTACAGCTGATTGCTTCAGACTTCTCAGAGCTGCAAACCTTGGAGCTGGTTTTGAGAGACACTGGAAAGGTCTAGTCCTGTCAGGCCACCAAATATCAATGAACACCAGTTCATCCATTAGTAATCAAAGGATCAGC